GTTCAAAGCACGAATGAGACTTCAAAGCTGTGGATTGCTGTGCGTGTATAGAGGTTCTCAAGCGATTGACGGAAAGGGAATTTAAAGTACTATATCTTGTAGCTACACTATGGCTACCCTAAATCTCTATACCTTGCAAGGTGCCAATTACACCTTTCCATTCAGATGATGCAAATGATGCATTTTGCATTTCTTGCATCACCACCCCTCAAACATCACCTCCAACACAACCTCAAAAAATCTTCCCTCGAAGCACCCTCCTCCCCCAACATGTGCCGAATTAATATATACTGTCACTTTCTTGGTAGCCGAAGCGAACGAAAGTGGAGGTTGGACACTCGAAGTTCCAAGTCGACGAAGTGCGGTGCAATGCCCTCGAAGTCACGCACCTTTTTCTGCTGCCATGGCCAAGTGATCGGCCGAGTCCCACCGCTATTGGTGGAGGGCGGTTTGGACAGAAAGGAAACACATGAAACATACCATGGTCTCAAGACATGGTGGACGATTTCCTCACGAAATCACACCGGTGGAAGGTGGAGAAAAATTCTCAATCCACAATCCATTCTTCATACGAACAGCGGCCTTCCTCCCGGATAAATTCCTGGAAGTCTTCAAACAAAGTGGTGCCGCTGACAGAATTTGTCACATGTGGAGTTTGAACTCCAGGGCAACAAAAATTGCATACGTGCCTTCTGGTGACACGTCCGGACCGAGCCACTCCACGGCATGACTCTTCGGTATGCCAGGCGGCGCCAAAAGGAGTAGCTACCACACCATGCTCCAATGGGCAATCCTCAAGGTGCCCTTGGATTTCACGAAAGGCTCTCGTGAAAAGCGCGCAGCTGCGACGATGCCGTTCATGTAGTTCAGCTAGCTCGTCTTGGTCGGCATGGTTTTCAGCCAACACTGCATCGTTCTCTTTGCGCAGGAAGTCATTGCGCACAGACAGCTCTGCCAGCTTTTCTTCGAGCTCGCAGACCTTCTCCACGGACTGGAGGTGGAGGTCCTGCAGCTGGTTTTTCAAGGCCAGCTCATGCCTCTCATGGCGTCCCGTAGTCACCCGGATTCGGGTGTTCACCAAGCTGCGCCAGTGTCGGCGCTCAAGGAACCTGCCAAGCTTGTAGGTGACAAGGCTCAGAATCGCTGAGAGGAGCATGAGGAGCGTGCAGAGTACAGTCAAGGGTGACCAAAAATACTCTTGCTCAACTGGACACACGTTGTCGTCCACGGCCTGGATGAAGTAGTCATCAGCCATCACTGCTTTGATCTGAGTGTAACAGACCATTGCTGCAACCGGGAACCTCAGCGAAGAAGGAGTGCTTTTCCACGCCACTGCTTGAACCGGAATCTTCTCAAATTCCTCAGATTCCTGTTCTGCTTGTGTGATGTTGTTTGTTGTGGTTGGTTGTTGTTTGTGGATTGTGGATGTTGTTGTGGTTCTCTTCTTGCGGTGCTCTGTTGCAAACTCTTGCTTGCTCTTATCTCTCTCTTCTTTTGTCTTCTTCTTTGCACTAACATAGCCAGGGTCCCACACCAATTTGATGCGGCCATAGCGCAAGCGGTCTGCCAACAGGGATCTCGTGCTCGTTTTGGTAAGTCCATCGGCGTACTGCCGTTCGCTGGAGACCCAGCGTAAGCTGCCACCAAGTTCAGTGACCTGCTGTTTTGCGACTCGGATCTCCAGGTATGTTCTTTTGTCAACTGAGGAGCTGGTAGAGGATGACTCTTTGTGGAATGCATCATACAGGGCTTTTGCGTCCGTGATCAACGTCGGACACAGGCTTGACTTTTCTTGCAGGCGATCACGGAGGTCGACGTTGGGATTCATGATGCACGACCAAAATCGAGCAATGTACTCACTAGCATCTGATGCTTGTCCAGCGGCTTGTGCTTCGGCACTGAGACTGCTTCTGGCAACTCGATGGAGTTTGAACGATCTCCAATCAACAACATGGTACGAGGTCTCCTCGTGGAAGACAGTGTCGGGCGTGATGAAGGCGATATAGCCTCCCTGAGAGGAGTGATCCTCTCTCACAGCATGTGCAGCATCAAACATCACGCTGAGTCGAGCCTTGCTTAGATCTTGCCAAGACTGAATGGACTCGAAGGGTTCATAGCGAAGGGTGACGTCGCTGTTCTCCTTAGCAAAGCGTAGGAGGGAGTTCCCTTCAATGATTGCTCTCAGCTTGTTGGTCTTCTGTTGTCCACTGATCAGGCTCGCACTGCATTGCAAGTGAGGTTGACTTTGGACAGCTGGCCATTGTAGGCTTCCCAGCAAGGCGCGCAGTTGTGATCTATCATGTTCATTCATTTCATCTTCTGGTCCACGGCCTCGGTGTATGGTCACTGGTTTGACCTTTTGGATGAAGTTCTTTTGGGAGAGGGACCAAACAAAGTCGGAGCGATTGTGAGTCACTCCGCAGTACTCCATGGTTTCCGAGTCTTCTTGCCAGGTTCGGAAGTCAAAGATCTCCTTGAGTCGGCTTTCAGCTGTCAAGTAGGTTTGACATTGGCGATCTCCCGCACCGAACATGTCATCAACATGCAAGCAGATCATGCCGCAAGGTCGAACGGTGCCGCAAGGTTCTTCATGGTGTAGTGTGAAGAGACAAGGATCAAGTTCATGGGATCGCCAGCCTTCTTGGGTGAGTCGACGTTTAGCTTCAAGCCACCAGCGTCTGGGTGCATCCAATTGTCCATACACAGGCTTTATCAAAGCCATGCGGCTTTCAGGTTGACATCCCAGTATGGCATTGCAGTCAGCAGGAAGACGAAGCCATAGTTTACGCTGTTGAGGCAATCCTTGCAGAAAGGCAGTTGCGACATCAGCTGACCAGCCATGCCATCGAAGCATTGCAGAAATGCTCAGAAGTAGTGACCTGGCCAATCTCGAGGCTGTAGGGCTTACTGTGTCAAGCTGTCCTGACAAGGCATCGATGTCATTGTATCCTCTGACCACCAGTCTTGCTTTGGCTCTAGGGCTGCCGTCGGCGTTCTTTGACCACTTCAAAAGCATCCTGCTCGTCAGTGTGCGATCAGGATCGGCCTCAGAGGTTGAGGAGAACTCCCAAACACCATTCTCAAAGAAACTCTTCAGCTCCTTGCACTTTGCCTCGTAGAACAGCTGGAGCTCGGCTGCATTGAGATTCTTTTCACGAACTTCACCTTTATCTTTCTTCACCTGCCGGATGTGGTGCGTCTTGGCTGATTGGGCTGCCTTTCTCACAAAGCGCATAGATGTCGCTGATGTGGTTGTGGAGGATGATGTCATGCCCCATTCTTGTCGTTTCACGGCAGTGATTTGGAAAATAGTCTGACCAATCCATTTCTTTGGCACAGGTGAGGGGTTCTTGGAGTTCTTGACGCTTTTGAAGATGTTCTCAGTCTTGAAGTGGTTCGTCACCGAATGAGGATTGGATCCTGGCTCTCGATAGACCGTCACTTGCACATCGTCTAAGTGTTCCACGGGAACTGGTAGGTCACGACGATCTCGGATGTCGAAGAGCTTGGATCTTGGATTCACATGGTGACGTATCAGGCATCCGCCCTTGATCTCCCAGAAGTCCTTCAGGGAGCTCTTCAGTTCCAGCGTCTTGGAGTCATGGTTGAAGGTCCAGCCGGAAGGAAGAGATTCTGAATCAAGGTCTTCAATTTCAAAGACTGTCTCGGCATTCTCTGGTTGAGGGGGCTTCGTGTAGGGAGTCACTGAAGCACGTGCCGTTCTCTGTGGACCAAAAGACATGGTCTCTTGTCGATCAAGACGCATGCGCTGCTGCTGAAAGGTTTCTGGGCTCTCGGGCTTTCGAAATGCAGCCTGAGTGACAGGGTCCAAGGATGGAGCAGCTTCTGAGCTAGCATGCGGTGTCGGTGGAACCGGTTCGGCTGACGGCTCTGATTCCAGATCACTGATCTCTGGTACTGCAGGTAGAGCTGGAGGTGGTGGAGCTGGAGCAACAGGTAGAGTCTGAGACTCTGATGCTGGAGGCTCTGGTTCTTCAGGTTCTGCGGAAGGTCCAGGTAGATCAGGAGCCCTTGCATGTTCCGCTGGAGTCATGTGAAGGTCTTCATCAGGGATGGACGGAGTGTAGTCCTCAGGGTCCAGCGGCAAGTCATCCAGTCGACGTCTTTTGGAGTCAGGCTCATCGAGATCTTCTTCTTCTTCATGTTCATCCACGTCCAGGAGATTCTGTCGGTTGACTTTGTCCAAATCGATGAAGCGGGTGACTCCACGAGACTTCAAGGACTGCAGGGTACGGTTGGCATCTTCAAGATTCTCAACTGCCGTGTTCTCGAGATGGTTGAACTCCGGCCTCACATGATGAGGTGCTGCACGGAGAAGTTGAGTTTTGTGGGCCAACCAATAGACATATGGCATGCCGTCTTTCTCCTCGACACAGACTACTTTTGCAGGACCACGCCACCTGATCTTGCACAGGTCATTTTGTTGAGCATCTCTCCAGTAATGACAAAGTTGTCCAGGTAGAAGGCGTTGGTTTGTACCTGCATATCTTCTCAGCAGTGCACGCCTCAAGCGACGATCGGTGTCCGCCTGGATGATGGCGGTCTTTGCCATGTTGCGTCGATGTAGGTGTTCTTCAAAGTCGTCGGAGGTCTTCAGTGCACAGTCGGCTGAGGAGAGCAGACCAGGTTGTGCAGGCTGGTATCCAAGCACCCACTGAGTTGGAGAGTAGCCGGACACGGTAGGCTGAGCATTGAGCTGAGGCAAGACATAGGCGAGTGCTTGCTTGACACCATCACGATCATCGAGACTCAAATCATGCATGTAGACCTCGAGAGCTTTTCTCAAAACGGAGTGGCGTCTCTCAACATGTCCGAGGCGCTCATGCGCTTCACCAGGTGCCACGTTGTGGAGAATGCTGTGCTCATCAATCCATTGACCAAAATCATCACTGAGCCAGCCACGACCCTCATCGGTGATGAGTTGCTGAGGCACGCCAAAGTGAGCTACCCAATGTCGTTCAAGAGCCTTGATGTAGTCCTGAGTGCGTTCGCTGTCCAACAAGGCTGCTGCTTGAAAACGAGTGGCAACATCAAGGATGGCCAGGATTGGCATCTTCTTCTTGCCCAACTTAATCCAGAAAACATCACTCTGTACGACCTGGTTGAAGTGCTGGGCTTCCTTGATCGACGAAGGCGCTGCCTGATTGGGTTTCTTATAGCGTAAGCACGAGGAGCACAGGTAGTTCTCAGCCACGGAGAGGACTGTAGGGCTAGCTCCACGGGCTGTGAGAAGATCAACCAAGGACTGAGCTGATGGATGTCCGAGGTTTCGGTGAAGCTTTTGAACTACCCTCAAGGCTTCTTGTTTTCCTTCGGCATGAAAATCAACCAGTTTGCCCAGATAGGACTGCATCTCTTGGACTGCATAGGCCCCGTCCCAAGCTTGTGGTCGTTCACAGGCACTGATTGCGGTGCTCAGGACTGCTGCAAAGGCAGGTTGGTAGTCTTCCATGTATGAAGTTCTCTTGCCAATGCCAGGGATGTGTCCTTCAAGGCGACAGTGTTCATGACTATGATCACAAAGAAGGTTCATGCTTTCGGCCACTGCTCTCTTGGTGGTGCGGATGGTTGTGTCTTTCTTGGCGGGTCGCCAAACTCCGTCAGCATCACAGCAAACACAACCATAACGACATTGGTGGAAGCGAGCATTGTGACCAGGAAGGTGCTTTAGGGCGCTCGTACTCCAGGAGAGTGCCTGGGTTGGTTGTTCAAGGTGTGCATGACGTCCACTCCTCACCTGCTGCAAGTATGCATGTCTGCAGAAACCAAGGTGCACTCGATGGTGCCATTCACGAAGGGTATGAAGTGCTTCTTTTCTCTGCTCAGTTATGGCCGAGATGTTCTGCATCTTGCTCCATGGACCACAGGAAGGCGACAGGAAGAGCTCATCGGGTTCTTCTTCTTGGAGGCGCTGCATGAACGAGGCACGGTGACTAGCCAAGCTGAAATTCCAACCAGTGGCGAAGGAGAAGACTTCAACCTTCATGCCCAATGCTTCGGCCAACTGCGAGAGTCTGCTTTTGCCAGCATAGACTTCCCAAAGAACTCGAGGTGGAGGGTGTCCTTCTTCACGCAACACGTTGTCCACATAGGCATGAAGTCTATTCAGCTGGGTCTGAGAGTTGGAGATCAGCGTCTTCCAGCGTTTCACTGGCATTAGAGATCCTTGGTCCTCACTGACTTCTTCCACATGATAGATGTGCTCTTCAGTGAGGAAGTCCTCGAAGGTGCCTGAGTCACCAAGGGTTTCTTCAAGCTGGAGGTCAAAGCTAGGCTCCATGGATAGTTGGTCAGTGTCGAAGGTGTCCGTGAGAGCTAGGAGGTATTCCTCATGCTTGCCGAGAACAGCTTGTTGCCAAGGACGGTCACCAAACTTCAGACGCTGCTGAGAGAAGTCGATCGTCATCTCCAAGGCCTGGATGACAGGTCGTCCGATCAACATGGGCGTTTCACCTTTCAGAACAAATCCTTGCACCACTCCATAGGTGTTGTTGATGTAGAACGGAAGCTTGCAGGTCCACGTGCTGACCTTTTGGTGGTCTCCTCCAAAGTGAAATGTTCGTTCACAGCGGTTCAACTGGAGGTCATTGGTGTCAAAGCCAAGCTGCTTCAGGTGGTGCACATACCTGACAAGAGGTCCACTGCCCATGAGAAAGCTCGATGCTCCAGGGTCAAGCATTGCGCAATCGGGTCGCTCTCGTCCGTAGGAGTCCTCGAAGATGACCAAGGACTGCTCATCTGCAAGTGATGCGACACTCTCAACTGCTTGGCGTTTGCCTGAAGATGTCGTCGAAGGTTTTGGAGTGCCGGACTGAGCGGTGCACTGCGCAGTTCGATGTGCGGTTGAACCACATCGCATGCACGCAGGAGCTAAGGCGCTTCGAGCACGACCTTTGGGATCAGCTTGTTTGTCTGGAGGCTTGTTGTAGCGATAGGTGCTGCCCTTGCCCTTTCCTTTGGATTTGCCCTTTTTGCCCTTTCCATAGCCAGAACCATAGCCCTTGCTGAAAGGAGGTCGAGTGGCTTGTGTGGATGAAGTCGCTGTAGACGACTGATCCTGTAGGGCCACGATTGGCAGGAAACCCCTGCTCATCTTGAGGTCATTGAACCTCTTGCGGGCATCCGTGTAGGTGGCATAGGCCTCATCGTATTCGGTGACATCAAATTCACCATTATGCTCTTGGGAGTCGCACTCTTCTTGGAAGTAGGCGGCATCATCATCAAACTCATCATACCATTCATCACCCTGCTCATCGTCAAGGTAGTAAGTAGGTGCCCTCATCCTCGGGTTCCCAGTCAACAGACGGAGAATCCCAGGTGGGGTCAGCTGCATCATCACCAGCAAAGTAGCCTCGACCCTTACCGGTCGAGTTGAAGGGGCGCTGCCAACGGCTGTTGACAGACTGTCCGCCACCCTTGTAGTCTTGGCCCAGGATTGCATACATGGCTTGTTGGACTTTTGCACGTTCAAGAGACGCAGACTGCGTCATGATCATCTGCTTCTGCTCCCGGGTCAATCCGGACTTGGTCAAAAGGTGCCAGCCCTGCACGGTGTCGGGAAGTTTCACTCCGTGCTTCTCAACTTGTTTCAGCTTGTCGTCATGGTCCGTCACGAACTGGAGGAGAGTCTGACCTTGCCGTCGTTGAAGATGCTCAAAGTAGGCGGAGAAGTCCGCAGGAAGCTCAACCTTGCTGTCGTAGCGAAAGGCAGAGTCAAGGCGAGTCAGGATGTGATCCAATACTTTGTCGTTCTCTGCTTGCTCGATGTCAAAGTCCTCGCGTAGTTTCCAAGCGGTGCCGCTAAAAGAACCAAGCAAGTTCAAAATGGCCTCGCCCTGGCGCTTGCTCAAATACATCTTCTTGTAGTAAATGAGAATCCTCTTGCGCCATTCACGGTAGCCACTCAAGGTACCATCAAACAGGGGAATGTAGGAATCCCGAGCTGACACGAAATCGAGGTCAACTTTCTTTTCCTTTTCAGCTGAAGCCATCGCCGTCCACGGCGAGGGAGAAGCTCAACAGGTGTGGAGCAACAGCTGCACTGCGTGAACTCACCTGCCAAGGGAACAAGGACAAAGGTCTCGTCCAGCAAGAAGAGTCGGATGTAGTTATAGTGAGGTGGTAGTTGTCCAGCAAGAAGAGTCGGATGTTTGTATATGTTGGTGGTAGTGGTTGTTGTAGCAAAGTGGCGCGGGAGCTCCCTACCACCAGGGAGCTCCGCTACCAATGTCACTTTCTTGGTAGCCGAAGCGAATGAAAGTGGAAGTTAGACACTCGAACTTCCAAGTCGACGAAGTGCGGTGCAATGCCCTCGAAGTCACGCATCTTTTTCTGCTGCCATGGCCAAGTGATCGGCCGAATCCCACCGCTATTGTGGAGGGCGGTTTAGACAGAAAGCAAACACATAAAACATGCCATGGTCTCAACCATGGTCTCAAGACATGGTGGACAATTTCCTCACGAAATCACATATACCATTCTCGGGCCATCCCCCCAGACCCCCTAACTACTCACTTCGTTCGCCAAACACAACTCCGCTACCGCCTTCTACGAAGGCTGCCTTTCGTAATAATTAAAACCTTCATTATACAAAATACAAAAACATTTTGCACCAAATATCAATGTCGCATAAAAATCCACGAAAATAATCCGAAGGTCACGAATCGATTTAAGCAATGCTTTCAATTCAAAAGAAGAGGATCAAAAAACCTTCGTTCCTTTTTCGCATAATATATCTTAATTCAATAGAAAAAACATATAAAAATATAATACGATTAACTTATATTTATTCTATTCTATCATATATTTTCGTACATATTACTATATATTATATAGATAATATATTTATTTTTAATTATATATATATATTTAAGACATCAAATTGTAAATTTTTGGAATATTCTATTTGAACATAAAATTTGAATTTGTATGATATATGTATTATTTTATATTATTTCCTCTCCCTAATTCTTCCTATATATATCAATCTATATATTAATATATGTTGTTGAATCCATAAGAACAAACCATTGGCCATCTGTGTCAGGGTTTATGTGGTAGTTGAATGGGCTTTTAACATCTTGTAACTTGTGAATATTGAAGCCATCTCAATTCTTTTTTGGATTCCCTTGCCTTGTCGGATGACATTGCCGACCTGGCCCATTTCTGACCTTTGATCAGTTGGGTTCCTCAAAGCAATTCGGGTGAATCCGGTCGAGGTGAGCGATCCGAATCCTCTTGGATCTCAACATCGTCAGGGTCCTCAAACAAAAATGCCCATGCAAACCAACACGTCAACACAAGACTAAAAGAATCATTTCGAGGATGTGTATGGCTATGTCACCTGTTGGGCTTGAGGGAACTTGACTACGGCATGCCTACAGAAAAAATCAATGTGTCTTGGATTTCATAACGGCATAGAGCTTTGTCTATTTGACGCTCGCTCTCTCTCCCAGGCTCCTGCGTTTGTCGATCCCTAGCCAGGGCAGACTCCATGTGACCATCGAAAAGGAAGACTGCTTTCACAATCTCCGCTCCTGCGCTTCTGAGACTCTCCGACCGTCAAAGGGCGGCATACATCTGCGGAACGACCCACGGACAGCCTCCAGAGTGGTATCGAAAGGTTAAAACCAAGGTGCCGCAATTCATCACCTGGCCAGTCACGTTTCAACGAATGCAACAGCCAAACTCTCTCTCTCTCTCCTCTCCTCTTTTCTCTTTTCTCTTCTCCTTTCTCTTTTCTCTTCTCTTTTCTGTTATCTTTTTTCTTTTCTATTCTCTTTTTTCTTTTCTCTTCTCTTTTTTCTTTTCTCTTCTCTTTTCTATTCTCTTCTCTTCTCTCTTCTCTCTCTCTCTCTCTTTCTCTCTTCTCTCTCCCTCTCTCCGTCTGTCTGTCTGTCTGTCTGTCGGTCCGTCCGTCCGTCCGTCCCTCCGTCTCTTTCTCCCTCTGTCTCTGTCTCTCTCTCTCTCTCTTTCCTTGGTTTCGCCGTTCCAATCTGTCCTCCCAAACAACATTTTTTTTCAGCATATCAATCAAAATACCTCTATCTCTGTCTATCTATGTCTGCACTGAAGATGATCCAACATCTTTCAGGGTCACAGAGACGTTAAGCCGCCTTGTCTTCGAACGGATCCACTGTGTCCTGCTTCTGTGCCCCATTTCGAAGTGCCGTTCGAAGCTCCTCCTGGGCCACGGTGCGGCTGTGAACAGAAGCCGGAAGCCCTTCCAAACGACTATGGTTACACTCCCTGAAGTAATCATGCAAGTGGAAAGCCATCTGTTTGCAGAGGCAAAATGGTCATGCAAGGGGTCATGCCATCCACTTCCAGGAGTATTTCAGGGAGTGCAATGTTCAGAGTAAGTGCGTTTCCATTGGAAGGAGAGCAATTGAGCTGATGTGAAGTAGCAATGATCGATGGGAACATTTTCCAGACGCCACAAGAAAGCAAACTCTCTCTCTCTCTCTCTCTGTCTCTGTCTCTCGCTCCCCACAAGTTGAGCCATTTAGCTAAGGCGAGCCATTTAGGCCCATTTCCAGCCGGTTGGCTGCCGGCTAGCGGCTAGCGTTTCGACCAGTTGGTTTGGAAAACGCCTCTCCTGACGTAGCCGATCTTTGGGCCAGAAGAGCTGAATCATTCGCTTAAAAAGGATGGAGTGAGCCACGAGACCTGGCAAAGCGGTGAAGATAGACATGGTCTTCATGGAGAGTATGTGAGAGTATGTACGAGCTTCCGGGTTTCCATTGGGTTTCCGAGATGTGGCACCACAAAGATACAAACCGCATCAAAAAGGCCAATCGCTCTGACGCAAATGACTGAAGCTCACACTTGCTCCGGCAAGATGGCCCGGCCTATCACGGGCTCCTCGTCTTCAACCAGGATCCGCTTCACCAAACTGAAGGCCGTTTCAGCTCAATGAAGCGTACGGTACATGTTTCAACGTGTTTGGGCAACTCGTGCCTCTTCACGCGTGAATCCTCTGCTCTCAAGTTCTCCTCACGAACCGCCGTCAGTTGAATTGATGATGGGCTTTCCAAACACCTCATGGATATTCATGAATCCAACATCAATTTCCATACCTACACCTCTTTCTCTTCCTCCCTGCCCCTCCCTCTCTCTCTCTCTCTCCCACTGCTTTCTTCATACCCTGGATTTGGTCAAAGGCACGCGGCCCAAGGAACGGGTGCCTTCTTGAAGGAACTGACCTCCGTCCACCAGACTTGAGCCTCACGGGTGGATCATTCCGATGAAGAGAAAAAAACGCACGGATCCCGTACGACCACGAAGTTCCAGACGGAGCGGCGGGGTCGTGGAAACACACGTGGTGGAAACACACGTGGAAACAAAACGCGCTCAGTTGGGATGTCCTCTCTTTTCTTTTGCACCGTTTCAAGGTTCACCCAGGACTTTTCCATCACTCTCCCACACCGGGTCTCCCAACGATCTCGGAGATGTCGAAGGCGCATAGGGTTGCAATGGCCTCTGATAGCCTTGGCACCCCGACAGTGGTGAGTTTGATGTTTCAAGCGCTGGGAAGCTGACATAAACTGAGACTCCTACTCTGCTTGCTTGTCCTGCACAGATGCCTGACGTTCATAAATACACAGAGCAAAGTCCACTTCTTTGAAAGGAATGTTGTGATCTGGATGACCCTTGGCCTTCCTGTCTTATTTCAGTCCATGAGCGTTCATGAACAGCAAGAACCCTGCGGTCGCGTTTAAGGTAACGTTCATCAGATCCGCTCTTTTTGGCTCTTTGCCAGTCAGATCCGGCCGCAGCTGCAAACTTCTAGTGCTTGCTGCGCATCCTGAGATACTTCCAGCTCAGTCTAGCGACGGCAAACCTCAAGGGCTCTGGTTGCCGGGAACGATGCTACCTTCACTGCGCTGCATGCGCTGCACCTTTGCCTCTAGCTCTGCAGGTGCTCATCCCTCCTCTTTGGAATTGTCAGTTCAAGCAATGCACGAGGAACTCCTGACATGTTGACTTTTTATGCAACACTCATGTAGTCGTGGAGGAATGTCGTCGTCGAGGGCCCAAATCGTGTGGAAGTCAATTTGAGTTTTGCGGTGTTCCATGTGATTCCTTCGTGTCTGACAATATGTGCCTTGCAAGTTGCCGACGGTGACTTGCGGCGCTGTGTATCGCACCCAAAACATTCAGGAAGACGCAGAGCTTCCAACCAAACGGACTGGGCAAAGGCTTCGAACCGCCCCCCCGCTCGCAGCCTGCGATTTTGACATAAGACATAAGAGTGCTTTCCGGCCTGCTACTCAATGCTAGTGGTGGAATTCATGACATCACAAGTCTGGAGGTGAAGGTGGCGGTGCTCGCTGCGTGAAAAGCAGCATACTTGTTGTGCAAGGAGCTAGACACATCTAGACACCAGCCTTAGGCTGGCAATGGCAACGCCATCTTGGACAAACGAGATCGCGCAGCAAAGGATGAAAGCACTGTACACCCCTTCGAACGAAGGAATTCAAGAAATAACCAGCTGCTGTGGCATTCAAATGTGACAGGTGCGTCAAGGTCGAGCCCACCTCAAGGAATTCAAGCGTGCAATAGATGGTCCAGTGATACTGAGAGACGGAGCTGTATTTGTCGACCCATGCCGCGAAATTCGGGGGACAAGCGGCTGTCCCAAGAATTGGATTAGTCGCCGACACTGGCTTGCACAGTGAGAGGCAGGAGGATATGCTACCTAGAAAGCAGGACGACATTCTTGAAGTGCAAACTGCCCAAATTTCATCCTCCTACATGCCAAAGTTCAAACTAATTTCAAGTGGCAATGGCCACGGCTAAGAATTCATCTTGATTCCACTTCTGGCGGGGCCAGAACGGTTTGAAATTCTAATTGAGCTCCAATGAGCTTCGGCCTGCAACCCAACTTTGACAAAAGAATTGTATCATCATGTATCATCAATCACCATTCTGTCTTACGACACACTGTCTTGAGAAGGGTTCTTGGGGAGTGTTACCCCTCACACCTCCACAACAGATCAAATACCTTCGAACCAGGTTGCAGTTGGTGCAGGAGGTTCTGCGGAGCGCTGTTCTGCGCTGCACGCCTATTAGCACTTTTGAGAACTTTTGGGGCAGTGCTTAGCAATCAGGTGTTGAGCGAAATTTGATGAACAGCACAGGGTGGACAATAGGCCTATTGCTTTGGTAGATCATTGTACTGCAGATCTACATTTTCAGGTGACCATGTGCTCTGCCATCTTCTCCACGACTTCGCCACAGCTCCCCTTGCCCCGAGCTCTATTCCGCTGGCTGAGGTCGCCCCCTCGCATTCCAAGCACCAATTACATAACCCCTTCGTGGGAGCTCCAGCGATGCAAAAAACGTCGCTAGAGGCCTCCCTTTGTGCGAGTCGGCTCCGTTTGAAATGAAACCTCCCAAAACACGATCAGTGATAGGACATTACAACAAAATCAAGCAACATCACATGACGGGAGTGTATATATATATATATATATATTTGTATCTTCATCTTCCCCCCGCTTTCATCGCTCACCGACGGGGATGGTGCTGAAACATCGCTCACCGCGCGACCACAGGCTATGCATTTTGCCATGGTCTAGCTATGGCCCGGTTTTCCGAAAAGCTGTGGCTCGATCCAGCCCCTTTCCACTGACTCCCGATAGCCTCGGCTGCAGATAAACATGGAGAAAGATCTGCAGATGCCTCACTGACGCAAAACATCGAATGCCTGCTGAGGGACTCCAGTGTGGCCAGCCTTCACGGGCAATCTTGTAATTCCAAAAGAACCATGCGGCGGCCTGGGTTTGCAGCCAAAGTCACTGCCGAGCCTCTCAAATTTCTCAATATTGTCATAGACATCTGAACCATTCTGAACCTATAAAACGTAAAAAGAAACAAAGCACCGAAATCTGCTTGGCCAGGCAGCATGCTTCTCAGCAATGCCCACTTGCCTCTGGAAAAACCGCTTTGGCCAAGACGTCCCATCTCCATATCCCTCAGCATTGGGCTGCAAAGCCAAGGAGAACTCGCCAATGATCCTCGGAATGGGCCACTTCCCTTGCTTCGCAGAGTCCTTGTCCGTTCGTCCATGTGCCAAAACATAACCTGGGGTCAGGCTTTTCGCTGGTTCGGTGTGCAAGTGGCACAGGAAGTGATTGCATCTTCTCCGTCATCAGTTCCTGAAATTCCAGTGCCTCAGGGTGGTCCGATGCTGCGCTGAAGCCATATTCGTGGCTGTTCCATGCCTGGCCTGGCAGTGCTCGCGTACATTGCCAGGCTCGCTTCCCATGCACTGGTAGTGGTGATAGTCTAGCCAAATTTTCCCCGGTACCTTGGCCCATCTGGCAACACCACCGGGGTCGTAAATCGCCAATGCTAAGCACCAAGTAGTGACTTGGGAGGTCAGTCCTTTTGTGTATGCACCGGCAGGTGCTGAAGCCCTCGTTTATATGTCAAACTAACCTGTTCGACTCGGCCAACCCCATGGGTTCACGCCAGACTTTCAGGCGATGTGCATTTTGCAACGCCTCCATGGTCCAGCGCTCCATATCCCAGCAAGTGTCGAGGACCTGGGGCAATTCATTCTTCCATATTCTTACGCATGTGGGAATTTATGGGTGAGTTTCAAGGAGGCATGCTGCCCAAGAACCAGGATGGCGTCAGGATGCAAGTACTTCTGCACAAGACCTGCAGCCTCCGTGTAGAAGTCCGCCACTGATGCCTAGGAGCTGGGGGAGACACTTGTGGCCCTCTGGCCATGGGGGCTTACCTGAGAGACAGAACTCAACACCACCGCAGAAAGCTCCGAGAGTTTGGAGAAGTCTTCAGACAAACGTCGTCCGAGTCTTCAGCTGCCAAGCATCCCAGTAGAATCGTGTTGCATCGAAATACCCGAGATTCAGAAATGCAACCTCAGCAAATGCAATTTGAAGGCACGTGATGGCACGTGGTGGGAGAAGTTTGGGCTTTTCGTCCAAGCTGGACCCAAGATTTGGCCAAATCGGATCATCGACCCTCCCCACCACGGAATTGTGGCCGAGATGAATTTGGTCGCTTCCTGCTGCCTTGTCGCCAGCTGGTCGAGCCATGTGGGCTCTTTTTCTCCCACCTAAGTGGCCGGGCAGCCTAAGAGCGAAGCAGCTTTTCAGGAGTGCATCGAGAAAAGGTCAAAACACATACGGGTTATCTTAGCAGGACCCACCCCTCACAATATATCCAACAGGATAATCAAAGTGCACGGCATGATATCCCTGCTACATGCTTCGATCAGGAATCAAACTGCAAGGAAACGCACAATGAGATCACACGAGGTTCGAGGGATGACAAAACACACACCTAAATCACAACTAAATCAAATTGATTCTTAAATTCGATGACATCAGGCCATTGAGATTTGCCCAAGAAATCTGCCTTCGGGCCCCTACAAAACAACAAAACAGAACAGCTTTCTTGACAAAGGACCCAAGATCAAAAGAAACAAGAACCAGTCGAAAGGAGAGAGTGGACCACGAAAATCAACGGAACAAAAAACACTTTGGTTCCGCAAATCAACAAGTAACAAAACAACTTCAGTTGGCCGCAAGCATTGGATCCAAACCTATCTTTGAGCAACACCTACCCCGCCGTCCACAAACAAACAATGTCAAACAGTTTACGAAAAGTTGAAAGTCCATTCCAAAGATGACAACTTGATAACTAACGTATACCATAGCAAATTCCTGGCACGCTCTCACATACAAATACCATGAGCTTTTTCTCCCAACCCCCTTTTGAGGCGGCTGAATGGATGGGCTTCATCATCTTTATCACTCTTCACCAAACATGCAGCGCCGGGTTCTTTCGCCCCACCGGTCCCATCGCACCTCGTTGCCCAGTCCAAAGCCGAGCAAAGACTCTCGAGAGCCCCAACGCTCAGCACAAGCTCGAATCACATCGAGATTTCTCCTCAGTCTGTGGCACGAAACCAGCGATGTCCCAGAGGTGGTGGGGTTGCACGAAACCCCAAACGTCCCGTGTGGCGTTTCGCAAACCGAGTGATTTGTCAAGGCTCTTGCGATTCGCAGGCTGCAGCCAAGAGAGCGGTCTGCATTCACCACTGTGATGCTCTCCATTTTGTGAGCCGACGAGGCCATGCAATTCCAGCAAAATCTTCAGGCCATATTTCTCCGCCCAGTCAAACCTACAAAATGTTCAAAGGATGCTATGACATGCTAGGACGAGTGATGAGAGGCGTGGCTAGGACTAATTCGAGGGTGGTGAACTGCCATGCTGTGTCTGAAGCTGCATAGAACACTCGACATGTTTCAATGATTTTCGATGTACCCTGACTCAGTACACCAAAACGGTCAAAAGAACTGGGCTCAGAACACAGCATCTACATAGCGCTGGGTTGACAAGAATGGAGTCCCTTTGGCAAAGTCGTCGATGCACCAAAAGCCCACAGGGAGACGCACTGCATCAATACCTCCTTCATATCTGAGCCAATGAAGGTCCTCGTATATGCAGCGGGTCTCTCTCTCTCTCTCTCTGTCTCTCGCTCTCTCCCTCGCTCCCTCCCTCCCTCCCTCCGCGGGCTTAGCACTCTCGCTGATTCAAGCAGGCGCCCTCAACATCATTCATTGTAGGGGCCGGGAAGGGAACACATGAGAACATATGAGAACACTACGGTGAGACCATGGGAAGGAGAAGAGGAGCAGGTATTTGCTGCGCACTTCTGCCAAAGCAGAGTTTCAAAGGCGATGGCAGTGGTCGAGCTGAAGATGATGGTACAAATCAGTCACTCTCAGCAGGTTGTTGGATATCAACCAGAGATGATGGACTTGAAGATAGAGACCTTTAAACAAAAAGAGCCACTGAAAAGCCATCCTTCACCCGGTGTCCCAGTCCTGTTGAGTGATGAAGGTGTCTCGGAATCTGGTGACAGCGTCCCCTCGGACTGGACAGGGTTGAGACAGGTTGAGACGTGGCATCAAGCAATTCCAAAGAGCTGAGGGCCAAACGTGCTTCATTGCCCCCCCTCGGTAAGCAGAGATAGTTCATCATCCGCCTGGTCAAATCCACATGGAAATTTTTTTTCATGTCCGAATTCCGGTGTCTTTTTGCTGTTTTTTCCCGTTGGAACCAGTGGAAAACGGCCGGTTTCCTTTGTTTCCCGCGGGCGCCGAAGGAGCCACGGAGAAGAGCTCCGGGGCCATCCATTTCTCCAGCACCAGCCAGCCTCGTTTCACCGAGGCGAGGCAGCCGGAGGGCTGAAGAAGGGCGAAGTGGGAGTGGGGACATGCTTGGTATCCATGTGTAGGGTTTGAGAAGCCAGCTTGCTGGGTGAGTTTTGGGATAGTTTTCATGCACAAGTTGCAAGTACTTGGAATCAGAGTAGAGATAAGTAGAGGGACTGCTGAGTTCTTCCAACTGGAATGAAGATTAGAAACCGAATTGCGGAAGAGACCTCTGCCGACCTTCACGTCCTACCCTCCGAAACACGCGTCGAGCCTCCAAGGTTCACCCCACGCCAGCATGTCCTGACACGGTTTGCCCCACATGGATTGTGGCACGCTGAGAAGATCAAAGGCACGTGGAGGGGAGGGTCCGTGGAGCATTTTCCTTCACACAAGTGCTCAGGGTCATTGGCCCGCATCAGCGGCCTTTGAAAAAAGCACTCGACGTTGTTGAGGGCCACAACGGAAAGAAAGTGCGCTTTCGTACCATGATGTCTCTCAGGATTCAACGTCCGTCCTTTCAACGTTCGTCGGGCCAAAAGAGTTGCATTTGAACTCAGTGGGGTTCCGGATGAGCCAGCTGTCCGCAGTGCAAACCTGTGCCACCGTATTATGTGCGCATTCTTGGCGTTTGTGCAAAGAGAACACACGAAGCCAAAAAGCTGGCCTTCTTGCACAAATCCATCTCAGGCCCAGCCCAAGGCATTGCAAAAGTGGATGACACGGGGGCTCCCTTTGAGCACTAGCCCTCCTACGATTTGGAGCCGATCTGCATGAAAGCCCCAAGCATGCTGATGAAAATAAATCATAAAGCTGTGCCGCTCTCGAATGCATCTATGACATACTACTGCTTGCGCATGGCCGGAGATCCAATTTAGATTGGACACAGGTGATCCATGAATCTCTGGCAGCACGAGATTCGAGCTGGCAGCACGTCACATTTCTGCCTTTTCGTTTCGATGGAGACGGCCTTTTCGTTGGCAACACGAGGTCTAGAGATACCAAGGGCCAGCCCTGTGCGGCCGGAGAATCAAACATTTGGAATATGTACACTTCTTGAATCTTATTGATCTTCTTGCCACTGATGGTCCACTCACTCATGCGATCTCATACCACCATGCTCATGCTTTGCACCTGCAGCATGGCAATTCCAATAAAGTAAAGGTCCCCATGAGTCTCCATGCCGACCTGTTGTGCATCTCGGCATAGAAAGGATGGCGTGTCCTGCCGACCAAGTGGGATTGAGACAAACCTTGGACTCTGCTCTCACGCCAACAGTCACTGCTCAAGAACCACATCTCGAACTACCTGGTGTGAAACACCTAGTCCTCCGAAGCAAATGTTGCTTTGTCAAGGCTTGTGAGATCTCCATCGCTAAGCGTAAAGTCGAAAATGTCCAGATTGGCCTGCCAGGGCCGCTTTGAATCCCCGCTGCAAGTATATAAACATATAATCAAAGTATATACATATATGTATATATATATATATATGTATGTATGTATGTATTTATGTATGTGCAATACACACAATATATGCATACTGTACATCCTCCGAAGCTCTTCCTCCTCTTCTTCTTCTTTTGTACGTTGTCTGATGCATGCTGGCCGTGGCGCCCAAATCCTTTGCATGCCGCCCAAGCTGTTTCCAGTCGGGGCCTTCAAATGGGCTGGATTTGCAGACTTCGTGGCCACCGAGACATTGTGGGAGACGATCCATTTCAAAGCCACCTCCACGCGTTGCTCGATTGGGCGGAGCGAGTGAAGGAACCTGTTTTAGGTCTCACAGGAAGTGACGCCCCTGCAACCCGAATGGTGGGATGGTCTCCTCCGCAGGGTCGAAAAAACTCCAAACTCCTACATACAACACATCACATATGAGATTCTACAACATATACAGTACTACTTTCGACCACTCCTACAAATTCCACATACATAGTTACACGAGATGCATTGAGATTCTAACGCGCGGTGGATGTAAAAGAGCGCCGTTACCCTTTGCACGTGGCCAAATCTCAACTTGGCACCTGCGCAGCAGACTTTCCATACTTGTTCCCAATCGATGTGGTCAAGTTTCCTGAAAGGTGGACATGTGCTGGCAAGCCCCAAGACTCAAACGGCAAATCCATCATGTCCACCCCGCATGTCCACATGCCATGGGATGGACATTCCACATCCGGCTTTTAAAATCTCCTCAGAGCCGTGGCCACCACTTCCAAATGGACTGTATGCCTGAAGGGGGATGGTGTGTGGCCGCTCTTGACCGTCATGAATGACCCAGCCTGGAGCTTGATCTGATGCTTTTCTGCGAAGGTCCGGAACCCCTCAGGGTCTGATCCTTGGATTGACTGGAGTGCATGGCTCAATTTCATGGTTCCTAGAGAGCTAGCCCTGCCTCCAACAGCTGGGAGTCCACCCTTTTCCACAAGTCGGAACCTCTTTGTTTCCCTTACTGAACTGCAGCTCAGTGACCCATACCCACATGCAGTTGCACCTGGTTCACCATCGGGAAGACCTCACTTCCAGCTAAGCACTCCAAGCATGCGCTGCAGTAGTTGGATACCCCAATCGCGCGGATCTGCTGCTTCTTGTATGCATTGGTCAACACACCTCAAGCACTGCTGCAAGAAGTGGCTTCCTTGCATTCACCCATGGCCCTGTGTACAACTGCGAAGACCACCACCACTGTGGCGGGCCACTGCTGTTTCACCTATGCTAACTCCACACCCAAACTGCAAACTGCCAGCTTTAGCACGAAAACACTCCGTCGTTCCTGCCAGCTCTTGGTCTTCGGACCAAGGGGCTCCATTGAGCGCGTATCATGTCGCATGCTTGGGGATGAGTACAGCCACTGTGGGGTGCGTAGCACGAGCTGTTGGAGGGACTTTCGGCTGTTCCATCATCTCCCGGGCATGGCGGAAAGTGCACCAAAACCTCAGGATCGCTTCCAGTGGTCGGGGATCTTTTGCAAAATAGTCTGAGAGAAGGGAGAAGAAGGCAGCCTGGGAACTGCTGGGAACTGGGTTTCGGGATATTCTTTCGAGTGATTGGCTTTTTGACCACTTCTTCGGTGCCTAGGTGCCTCATGCTGACAACTACATCCCCAGTGGTTCCCAAGGCCATCCTTACAAACAAGCATCACTATCATTAAGGCATCAGGGCACCACTTTAGCTCTTCAACACCGGCACAGCTAGCCTGAGGCACCTAGACCGCACCTAGACCTAATCAGGGACACATCCTCTGCTCGTTGAGCGTCATTTTTTGGACTTTCAGAGAGGGCAAAGCGAAACCTACCTGGATCCCAAGTAGGTTTCGAATGGCCGCGAAGGAAGTATGACACAGGCGAGGTCACACTTGAACAGGCCTTCATTTGATATGAGAAGGTGGATTCGGACGTCACAGGCTTAACACAGTTCAGGATGGCCCCGGTATATGGTTGTTTTAGATTCAAAGGCTAAGGAAGATGCGCGAAGCTGAGTCAAGAGTACCGTGAAACAAGGGAAGTCTAGCAGGGGCAACTATGTGCCACATCCACGAAAATGCATGCTGTACACATGGTTGTTAAGTGGTAAGCTCATCTTTCCGCTTGAGCCTCTTCTTCAAAGTCCTTTGGCTATTGTTAGGCTATGCTGTTGAGATATTGCCATACTATATTGTCCACATGTGCCTGCTCCTGAACAATACATAACTATAGACTCTTAGACTATCTTAGACTATTGTCTGTGCCAAAGCTCTCATCACCTGACCAGCTTGACATGCATTGAATACTTCCAAATCAGTGTATATATTGAAAAATATCGAAAGTATACTACTGACTCTCTTTGCTGGGAACTATCCCTAAACAGCCAACACACTTGTATGATTTGACGGCAAGTCTCCAAATCAATATAGGTGAGGTTCAGCTGTTGCAAATCGATCACGAGCTTGTCTTCTGTTTCAGTCTTGCACTGCTCGACGCTCTTGGCGCTCACGTTCTGGCTACCGCATCCAGGCACCTGGTCCAATGATACGTTCTCATCAGGAGATTTCAATCATCAGCCCCCATGTGCCGGGCTCAACTTCACATGCTGGCCTTGCTGGTGAGGAAGAAGGACCCCCTTGCTTTCCCAGATCTCTTCAAGCCTTTCCCAACACCAACCTGACGATTAAAGGCTGGATCGGGCGTAGAAGCAGCCTTTTGAATCTGTCAAGCAAACAGGGTCGGAACCGGGTGGATTCAGACGGCCTGGTTGTGATAGTCGTAAGCTGTATCAATGTGTTGGAAGCCTGCATTGAAAGCAGCTACCACTGCATCTTCTGCGACCGAGTCATTGTACTGCCAGGTGCCTGGCCATATGCACGGTGAAAAATTAGACAATGGAGAACAAGTAGGATCACCTTTGTTACAGCCTTCAGACTGGGTGATGGATACCCAAAAAACAAATAGAGGATTACCCTGATTACACTAAGAAAAAACACTCACAAACATACAAAAAAGGGCCTCTTCCCTTCAGACCTTGGTTTCAAACAACCCTCCTGCTGCCAGCATTGGCATTTGCACACCATTTCGAAGCGTCACAGCGGGCACGGATGGTGGACGAGGAGTGGGTGAGTCGTCGCTGCAGCCTCACGGCAGGTCCAACCTTTAAGTCTTGACGGTCTATCACTCAAAACCCCTCGGAGCCTCGATGGTCAAACATCTCCAGGGCCCGTCAGGGGTCAAACATCAACTGTCAACAACATGATCCTCGTTTTTCTCAACATCTCCAGCTGCAGCGCGGAACCGCGCCTTGCAAAATCAGGGCTACAGCTGCAGCAGCACCCGACACCCACCGAGCCATTGGTTCGGTTGAAAAGCGATGTGACGATCTGCATGCGCAAAGCCGAACTCACGGCTGCAGCGAAGGATGACGGGAGTGAAACATGACATGAGTCATGAGATTCATGAGTTCAAATCAATTGATGCAACCTCTGCTGCAATTCAATAGATTCAACATAGGCTTTGACATGACAACATTATACTTTGACTTCCTTCCTGGTGATTGCGATTCAGCCGTGGCTTTGGCTAGCTTGGCCAGCTGGCCTGATTGGCAGGGTCGTCCTCCTCTTCTTCGAGCGTTTCCGCTAACTTGCTGACAGCTCGCGTGACCTGGGCAGTGCTTTCATGCAAAACTCATCAACATTCCAAGCACACAAATGGTTGTGGTTAATGAAATGGACGTGGCAAATGATGGTCAGAAAGCAACGTGCATTTTAAAAAGGAAAAGGACGGCGAAGCTCCCAGACCCGCTTCGCGCACAGCTCCCAGACCCGCAACACACCGGAGATGGACACTTTGAGACGCCCCATTTATCATTCATCTGTCGGCTCACGTGACTCCAAGCACTGAGGACTGCACCACTTTGAATCCAACGTTTCCTTTCTTTCCCTGACAGTCAAGCCTCAACCAAAACTCAGGTCACCCCACTGATCGGTGGATGCCTGGTCCAGCCTGGTGTGCTAAATTGCAGAAGCAAACAACGGATTCCGAGCCAAGCACGACATGGAAGTTTGTACAATCTCATTGGCCTCAAGATCATCAAGCATGTTCATTGGGTTCCGGGCAAGACCAGTCTGCCATTCACTAACACCCACCCAATGAACAAGCTTCTGGATCAACAAAATTTTAGCCTTACAGTAAATAGCCCAACAAGACATTCAATCGTTGGGCTCACGAGAAGCACCCTGAAAAACAAGGTTTCGGCCAAGAGACCTGCGGTGAAACTCGCAACAGGAGTCGCTCTCCTTGTTGCGTTGCCAGGCGCTTCAAGGGCGATAAAGCATAAGCTGCAGTCCTCCGGAGGATGTCGGAGGAACAAAAGAACATCTGGTCCGTTCTGCATGTTGTTTGAGCTGAGGCCACTGCTCCAAAGCGCGCAAGAAGGGGGGAGATATACCATCTCCTGAAGTCCGTACAATCTAGGAAGCATGAGAAGATTGCAGGTGACAAAACTGGAGCCGGAGCAAACGCCTCGTACAAGAAACCACATGACCCGGAGCCTCTCCAAAACTCACCGAAACGGCTATATTCTACCAGCAGTTCATATTTGAGGGAGTGCAGGTTTGTTGACGTTTGTCACCTGAGATGGAGTTTGGAGCATCGCTTCATCCCAATCTAGTCCGTGCCTCCATCACATCTTTCGATCCAAGTCTTGATGCTGGCCATGGTGCGACTTATTAGGGGCAGGACAGGGATCCAAATGCTCTAGTGAGCCTGAAAGCCTCATCCTGAAACACACGTCACATGAATTCATGCCTCGGAAGGCTCTGAAATGGGAAAAACCATGGGGCAAGCTTGAATTCTGCAAAAGGGGTGTTCAGTCAGTTCTGCAAGAAGGTCCCGCAGGAACTGTCGAACTGTACACTGCTCTTCTGGCAGGCCGCTCGGGGGGGGGCCGCTCACGTCACCACGTCGGGATGTTGCGCAATCCACTCCTCAAAGCCACGCTTCGGTGGAAAGGACGAAACATGTAGAAACGCTATGTGCAACAGCTGTGTCAGCATAGAGAGAAGCAAAGACACATTTTACATGTAATCCATCTTTCCATACTTTTCCTGTTCACCTGTTCCTGTGCAATCCGTGCAACAAAAATGTGCAAAGGTGGGTATAAGCCGAGGCACCACAGCTGCTTCAATGGACGAGCATCGTCGAGCTGCTGCCTTGGCTTGCGCCTCGGAGTAGCCACAGCGCATCAAGTCTGCCTTAGCCAATCGCTGCAGGAAGGGGTTGAAAGATAGACTATATATAGTCGGGAAACCAACACCCCCCGCGACAAGAGCTGGTGCATTTCACTGTGGTCAGATCCAATATCCCATCCAACACAAGCAAATGCAATGCAATCCCTGCAAGAACTGTCCAAGGCATAAATCAAACACCAGTGTCACCAGTGATGAACTTTCACGCTAATATCGTGGGGCCACATGAGAACTAGGTTAATAGTATGGACTAAATGCAACTGCGTCAAATGCGAGCACGTCTCTGCACATCTCTTACAGCATTGCTTACAGCCGCATTAAAAACAACTCACCAGCCAATCACGTATCATGTCCAGTCGCCTGAACTGTCTGAGATCTTCTGCGACCTGTGAACCGGTTGAACCCGCTTGGTTGATTGATTCAGCTTTGAATTGCGCTCAACCAGCGGACTCAACACATGACTGGCAACCTACTTGGCAAAAATCAACACACGAACCTGCCTTGCCCCGGCTGTTCCGACAAAGTGGAGGTGTCTCGGGTAAAGGTCTTCCCGGCTGCCTGCCGGATGTCCGTTCTTTCGCTCCAGTCAATTGGCCCAAAACATGTTACATTTATCTATAGTCTATAGAAATATAAACAATATATATATAGTATTATATTTGCACATTACAAGGCTTGTACTTCCACATACACTGGCCTTTAGGATCTTCAAACACTCAATGCCTGTAGGGGCAGAACTGGATGGTCACGAGCGGAGCCACCCTTCAGCGTGGCGTTTTCCATGATGTACTCGACGGCGGCCTTCCCAAGAAAATGACAGTTGACAATACATGAAAATATTTCATGTATCTTCATGTGACATTGGCGGACCCTACAAATCACCACCCGAATGCATTTTGGGGGTGTTCACCGCCTGCGCATGCTAAAGTCACTAAAGTCACTAATTACTGCCTCCCAACAAATTGTGCACACCCTAGCTGTGCGGCTTCTTCATGCTTCGTTTGACACAGCTGGGTGAATCCCCCATAATTGCGGGTTGAAGGAGGGATGGTGAGTCCAGTTCGGTGCACACGACATACAGCCGCATACGGGAGCCATACTGGAATAAATTGGAACAAACACATGCTGCAGCTGGGTGCGAAGGTGGCATCACCATAAGCAACGAATTGCAAGAAGAACACATGTGTATGTATCATGCTGCCCAACTTGTGACCTGGAGGTGAGTTTGGCTCAGTGCTTGGCGCCTGTGGCATTAGGCAAATCACGGCGGCGAGCCCGAGATTGGTACAGTAAATAACAACGAGCAAGCCTTCCGGCTGGTTTAAGCCCAATCAGTTCGCTGGAAATCGCCAAATCCAAAGACAGGTGAAGACACGCTGATGGGACAACGCTCTGTCCCCTCGCGTCCCGAACATATAGCTACACACACACACCATGGTCACCATACATAGTATACTGATGTATACTGTATGTATTGCACACAAACACCACGCACACCGTGGGATGCAAGGGGGGGGTAGCCCTGGCCGTCTCCCAGAGATGATTCAAGGAGATTCACTTCCTTGGGCGCCCAACTAAAACACCACCACCACCGCCACCACCACCAACAACAACATGTCCAGTCCCTCGCTGCTCCGCTGCTCCATTTGGAGAGGCGACCTGCCCACCTCGATGCTGGAGCAGCGCTTGAGAGAGGCCTCTGCAGCTTCATGGCCAAAGCCCATCATGGTGAGGATCGTTATCTTGTCATCAGACCTAGGCATGGCGTCAGTCGTGGCCTAGGCATGCTTAGGTGTGCCAGGCAGCACAGGTCACGAGAGGGGACAGGTCACGAGAGAGGACAGGTTGGCCCTTTTATGCGGGGAAACGCTGTCAAATTGGGCGTGAAGCTAGGCACAAAAATGGAGTGATGAGGAGAAGGACAAGGTGTTGGTTGGCTCTGCCGACTACCAAGAGCTGCTATATGTAAAAGAACGCCACGTCTCACTTCTTTCTGCTATATTGTGATGCTCGTTGAGCTGCCTGTTCTGCAAGCTTTCACATGACTGATAGGATCAGCCAATTTCTATGGTACTTAGCAGCTTAGCAAGAACATCTCAACCACCAACAAATTTTCCACTCTGCTTGCCACAGGTTCTTCAAATGAAACGCTCTTTCGCGCGTGGATTGTCGCCACAAATCTGAAGGACAAGACAAACGTACACTATACGAATCACTGATGAGATGGGAGGTCATCTAACATGAGTTGAACACATAATTTGGAATAATTTGGGACATTGAGCAGGAGTCTCAAGGGCCTTAAGTTGACTCAAGGGCCGGTTCTTTCCCTCTCGCCAATCCTCCAAACCCAGGACCTAAACCTTGAGCCATCGTCGAGTCACTCCTCAGAGATCTCGCTCGGGGACCTGGCGGCTCAGGTGACGTCGGATGGCACTGATCCCGCTAGAGTTCGTTTTTGACGTCTTAGACTTGGTCTTCTCCCGTGGTCACTGCGTCTTCCAGTTATGAAGTGCTGGTGACATCACAACTTAAAGACCTCAAACAGTTAAAATATTTTTGCATGGCTGCTAGCCATGTTTCAAACTGTAAAGTGTCGACCCGGGAATTGAATTAACAAGAGCCTCTGCCCACGCATGTTCTGCACCTTCTCGGTGCCCATCCATGGGCGTCAAAGCCCAAATCGGTAGAAGTTTAGAGGTTCAAATCTCAAACCATGCACCACTGAAGGACCAGCATGGGAGCCATTGCTGCCTCTCGGCTATACATGTGCAGCATGTAATTTGCCAGTCCAACATCTGCCAGCATCAACGAAACAACACCATCACCCTGGCCACCTTGAGCCTCAGCCTGGACAAAGGATGTGACATCCAGGTTCACTGTGATGTCCTTTTGGGAAACATCCACGGTACTCAACAGCTGTGAAGCAGTTGGAGCGGTATTCCAAGTAAGAGTTGCCTCATCCCAAAGGTCATCGGCCACGGCAAAAACGCTCAGCGGTACACTTTGTCCCTCTGACTGGTGTCGAAAGACACGCTCCTGCAGGGTGGCCGAGACCGGTTCCGAAGCCGATTCGAGGTCAAAGCGCAAGAAGCCACGGCGCGACCATTTCTCCCGGTTGGCACCCTTCACAATGAGCTTCTCGGGGTCCTCAGACCCAAAAGCACGATCAGCATAGCTTCCACCTCTGACGTATGCATCTGCTACCGGATGCAAAGAAGTGGTGCAAGCAGGAGTTGTTGAAGCATCCGAGCTGGAAGTTGTGCTCACTGCTGCGGTTGTTATAGCAAGAACAGTGGTGAGAGTGATCGTTGTGCTGGATGCAGCACTGGTGTCGAATGTCTCAGTCGAAGTGCTCGTTGGTTCTCGTGTTGTTGCAAACGTTGTTGTTGCCTCCGTTGAGGTCACAGGCTGTTGTGTGGTTGTGAGCAGTGTTGTTGAATCGGCAGTTGAGCCGGCGTTGCAAGCTCGAACAACACGAACCATCTTGATCACCATGTCCTTGGTTGCTGCAGGGTCCAACTCAATGGTGAATTCGCTTTGCGTCACCAGGCTGGATGAAAAGTTGAAGCGCGCCGTCTGGAGCAGCGGCTCCAAGTCATTGTGCGTCACTGTGTCTGGTGCAAAAGAGCCACCTGAACATGCTGAGACGCTGCCAATCTCGCTAAGACCCACACGCAGGCGAAAGCGGCAGTCGGCCGCATTGCTGCTAGATGGAATGCCGAAAGACACAAACACGCAAACGTTGTTGCCCAGTTGAGCTGACCTCAAGTAAGTCAAAGGGTCTTTGTGATAGCGGTGGTTGCTAGCGGTCGTCACACCTAAAACTCAAACTGCTTGCTCTCCAACCTGCACGACCATCCATTTTTGGCCTCTCCTTTTTTTGGGGCGGCTGTTTCCCACATGACTTTATATTGACTTGCTCCCTCTGCGGCCTCCGATCGGATCAACTGAGGCCAACGACGGTTGAGCTGCATCGAAAAAGCCGGCACCAACTTGGCCAGGCTCCGTCCTCGTCGGCAACAGCTGAAAGACGAAGCTTCGCACACCCGCTGCCAGGTCGGTGCGTCGACCTAACCAATCCAAATGATCCGCGGAGGGGCCACAATCCTTGCTGAAGGAACCATGTTGGCTGCCACTGCGGTCATAGAGAAGTGTTGCAGGAGTGTCAAGGACATTCACTTGCTTCAATCCTTAAATGAACTGGACATCATGAATCTGAAATATCATGAAACACTTTCAATTAACACATGCTCCCAAGGCCTTAGCCGAGAATCCCATGCCCAAGTTCCGTGCGGGCCAACAGCTGGAGCTCAAAGCTCCCTTGACCCAAGTTTCACGAAGCCATAGGGCTGCATCTGGACGATCGGCACGGAGACGACCCGAGGTCTTGAGCCAATACTTCAAGAAGTTCCGGCCATTGACATTGAGCTCCGTGAGGAAAGGCTCATCCGGAATCCAAACATACTTGCTCTCAAGCCAATTCTCTACCCACATGGAGCTCTGAAAATGTGCTTGTGAATTCCGATTGGGCTTCACTTGCTCCACTTCACCTCCTAAAAAAGCGGTCGGCCAAGCGGGGAGTGAACTCTTCACCTTCATCTCGCAGGTCCAGGAATCCATTGCTCGAGTCGTAGCCTACAAAGTAGTCGTCCCAGTAGGCATAGCTGGTGGATTCAGCCTGCGCTCGAGCGGATTTCTAGATGACTACAGGGAAGTTGTTGGAGAGAAAGGACCACTGTGTTCTTTTACCTCTATATAGTCACATACCATACACCGCATACACCCCAGAAGGCTAACATCGACCCTGAAAACCACTGGTTGGTAGAGGAAAACCATCTTCCAGGGGCCAGGACGGACCCGGGTCCATGTTTGTCTTCGGGAGCGGATCGCCCAGCAGCCCAACCTTTCGGATCGCCCGCACGAAAGGAGCCGTGAAGACTTCCAATCCACCCGTGCGTGAGCCCAAGCCCATGCTGTGCGCAGCCCGCTGGATCTCTTCAGTCAAGGGCGCATTGTATGCGCTGGGGCCGCTGAACCAATCCTTGCCCACGAAAGCCACCTTACCTCAAGAGAAGCAAGTAGTCTATCAACATCTATCAACTATGGGGCCTTTGCTCAATGCAAACAGCCCAGAAGCTGGGTCATGAGCTCATGTCTTCAAAGCCGGCTTCAGGCCATCCCACTGATGCTCTCAGGCTCTGACCAAGCAAGGTAGCATCGTTGACTGCCTGTTGCCAGTACTGGAAACGTGCCAGCACAGCTTGTTTCAAGATCTCGGGTGTCATGCCAGCAGCCTCACAGCTAGTTACCCCACTGGATTCCAAATTCAATTCTTCACCAGCAGAAGTGCTTATGCCACCAAGGTATAGGCCAGCAAAAGCAGGGCTTTGGAGGATTCCAGCAGCCACAAAGGCTTGCACATCGACTGGTATTTTTGCTGCACACATCCGTCCCAAAGAACCGCATAGTGGAAGAAGGAATTGCTTGAGCTGCTGCCAGCTGTGTAGCAAGTGGCTGGCTGGCACACATCCAAGACCCATTGGGGGATGTAAGGGGCATCTGAATCATCCCATCCCGTCTTGCGATTGATTACAGCAACTTTCAACCTCATGATGAAGCCGCGATTGGTGTTGGATGCCTCCTGCAACTTGCTCAGGAGCATTGAGAAGTCGAACACCCCATCAGTTGGATTGATCTGAGACCAGTAGTATGTTCCAAAGCTGTAGTCGATCATTCCTGCCAGTTCTGGATCAATCACGGTTCCAGGCCTGAAAAAGCCAGCGCTACGACCCACATCTTCAGGCAGCCAATAGTCCTCGCCCGATGATATCACTACCCCTGAAGCCTTGAAGGTACGAAGCGCAAGGGCTAAGGCGGCCAAGATCCACATGGCTCGAACAGGGCCGCCACTCGAACAGGGCTGACTGTGTGTGCACTCCGAACGCTTTCATCGGGTCGAAGAAATGCGACATGACGCTGGTCCTTTCGGATGCGACATGAGACGCATGCGATCTAAAAACCGTTTCAGAGTTGACGTTGGTGATGATGCGGCATCCTGGCCCTTGAGCGGTGACACGTACAATTTCCGGCCGATGATCAGGAGTTTTCATCAAATTTGATCTTTGGGGATTATTCCCCAAACAGTTTACTGTTAGGGGTTCTCAATGCTTTAAAGAAT